CAACAATTAGATTGTTGATTTTTATATATTTTACCACGTGACAATTAGCATCACATGATTACGGCGCCAATCACTATGCTGAGCCATAGTTAAAATCTGCGCTTCAAATTATGGCTTAAACTGCAACTCACCAGCTTTGGTCGGCTTGACTCCATTATACAGCTAAAACCGGCTTCGGATAAGCCGTTAACCTCTGAAAATTATCTGGAAAACAGTTCGCAACAATCCATATTTGGTTAGTTCAATTCCGAAGAACAATAATAAAAAAGGCAACTGATAACGATAAGTGATCGTCATTCGTTTTTAATTGAGACAAGAACTGTAAAAAGTACAAGCAAATCTCAATATATATAAATATAGTGCTATGGCAATATCGTAAAGTTTAAGTGCAGAATTTCACGTTTCATTCATTGTCCAAATTATGAGATTTTGCAGATATACATCACTAAAAATGCCTATAACCCATACACTTCGTGATATTATATACATAAAAATAATCGGGTTGGATCGGGTCGGGTTTATCCTGGACCCGACCCGATAAAAAATTTTCATAACGGGTCGGGTTTAAATAAACAGACCCGTTCCGCACTCCTATTTTTGACAATTATGCGCAGAATTTCAATTTTTAAAAAATTTTGCAGATATGTCACTAAAAAATCTGTTTTCACAGAAAATTGCAGATCTGACCAGAAAAAATACGACATTAATCATGCAAATGTTAAAACGTCGCGAATGATCACGGAAAGGAATATCGTAATAATTACTCAAACCGCAATTTTTTGAATAACATCGGGAAAGCTTTTTCTATTCAGATCTGTAGTATTCTGTGAAAACAGATTTTTACAGCATCGGAAAAATTTTTAGTGCAAATCTACAAAAATTTTTAAAAAACAAAATTCTGCGCAGAATTGTATTTGTTTTCTGTGAAAATGACCACCAAGTTTGAAGATTTGCGCAAATTTGCAAATTTTTTATATAATATAATTTGCGTAGATCTGCACTAAAAAAATTTTCCAGATGAAAAAAAATCACACATCCAGGTGACAATAAAAGGTAGTGATGGGCAATCGGCTGTTTTTCTAAAAATCCCACGCGGAATGCGGGGTTACGCGCGTGATCCGCGGGATTGTTTTTTTTTATTTCGGAAATTTACGGAATGGGTCAAAATTTTACCTCAACCTCAGACTATTTCGGAATCCGTCCAGATTTATGACACTACCCGGATTATACAATATATCCTCGCGGGATTTTTTTGAATCCCGCGTATCACGCGCGGCGCCCATCACTACAATAAGGTAAGTTACACATTATTCATGTCTTATTTATTATTAATAAAAATACATTATATTCGAACTGAGATAAAATGGTTAAGTGCGACCAATTAAATTTTATTAAGGATACATCAGGATTATTTTTTAATATTAGAGAAACGTGAATATAACAGATAATTATAAATTATGGAGAGGCGATTACCGTATTATACGTATCTTTATGTCGGTACATGGAAAATAACATATATACATATGGCCGAATATGTAGAGTAATCAATGACTATTTGCCGGTCAGCTCCAGATATACATTAATTTTATGATTTCTGGACTGACCTGATCCTTGGATGGGCCGAATAACCGTCGGTCCGTACAGGATCGATTAAAGCTCTAGTAAAAACGAGAATAAATTTTGGTTTTAAAGGTCACGATAATAATTAGCAAGCTTTATTTTTTATTTTTTATTTTATCTAGAATATCCCTTGATCACGCAATGCCCAACTAGCAATTTACTCATAGCCTTATTGAAAAAGTATATATTTTAAACACATGAATGTGTCAATAGAAAAAAGCTTCATAGAGTGTATAAATACAGTATAGAAATCCCAAGATAAAGTCATGAGAATGGTTTATCCGATTAGATGCAAAAGACAGCTTTTAACTTGCCTGTAAACTATACACTATGTACTTTGTACCCCATTCCTGGTATATAGATAGAACGAGATATATCAATCTGAATAGATGCCATACAAAATAGATAACTAGTCAAAATGTATTGATTTGCATACAACACTTTCATATTAGATATGCATTTAATCATATGAATTCCGCCAATGAAAAACCTGTCATCGGACTTTCAGTTATATTCTTTGTACAGTTAGCCATCTATGGAAAATCTATCATTATCCCTATAAAAAAAAATTAAATTTCATATTCGGATTTTGTCCAGATTATTATTTTTAAAAATGAGCATTTTTCGTAACAAAAATTTATATAAAACCTTTGAATATTTCTAAATTTCATGAATTTTTTTTGAATTCCTGGTTATAATATATATATATATATATATATATAATCACAGCTGTTTTCAAAAAGATGTGGAAATTCTGCTTAGTAAAAATTAAAAATCCGATAGAGCGGGTTTTAAAAACTTTAGAAATCTGGGAATTCTCCATATAGTGATCTGCATTTCCTCAAATTTTTGAACCCAGGGAATCGGAAATATTCGGGAAATTTAGAAATATTCAGGAATTTAAAAAGGTTTTATGTAGTTTTTTGTTACGAAAAATGCTCATTTTTAAAAATATAATCGGAACAAAATCTGAACTTGATTTTTAGTTTTTTTTTAGAGGATATGCCAAATTTTCCATAGACGGCTAACTGTGACAAAATATAATTGAAAGTCTCCCTTGGCGACACGCATATGATAACTGCCAAGTAATTGAAACTGAGATTTAAGCAAAAAAAAATAACTTATAATAAGAATTACCTATTGCAAAAATCTTAATATAAACCATCTTACTATCGCTATGAAGTGATTGTCGGTGAAATGATACGAATCCTATGATTCTTATATTCATGCGCATGATTATGCGAATGGAATGTTTCAAACAAGTTGCTGATCATAGTAAATCATAGTAAGCCTAAGAATGAATATTAAATCGATAGTTATAATTGAAAGTTCAATGACAGATTTTCTTTCGGCAACACTTATATAGTTCATCCCAACGCGGTATTCCTCTGACTATAATACTTATATATGCAGACTAACTTGTGGGTATTTTGGGCTACGCTATACGAGTAATTAGAATTACAAAGGTCATTCTCCAGTGCCTTAATCAATTAGTCGAATATATCAGAAAATGTGACAGGAATTAAATTCTAATTAGCGGAGGATATTTTAACTTATCACGTGTGAAGATAAATAACGGATATGAGATATGAAGATATGATCGATCAAAATTTGTTTAATTTTCATTGGTCGATCACGAATGATTGATCTTTTTTTTCATATCTTTAGAATAGGGTGGTGTTCTGAATTAAATTTAATGATTAGTGCATTCGATTTTTCTCACGATAGAGTATTGACAAAAATTTAGTGAACAATAAAATTGAGTAATTAGTTATTGTGTGAAGGATACGGGATATGTCGTCAATAAAAAAATTTTAAAATAGCGAAAATGAAACTCTTTTGTCTCAACCCATTTTTTTTTATTTTTTTATTTTTTTTTTTGGAGCGGCTGATCAAAACTTTATAATGACTGGAATAAGTAGAGTTATTGTTATAGAATTATTTTGTTTATACTTTATGGACTTTCGTTATCGACACTAAGGCGTTGCTATTATTATGATTTTTTTTTTTTTTTATTAACTAAAGCTTTCTATCAAATAAGCATTAGAAAGCAAAAAAAAAAGCAATTGTAACGATCAGGCACTACAATTATTAACAAGTCACAGTAAAAGTAATCTTGAACAAATCTCATTATTAGCACTATTCATATCATTGATAGTATTTGTCGATTACTAGAAAATTGCATTTTAATTTTATTGCCAATAAAATAAATAATCAGCTATTTCAGTTTAAATATTCGCTCTTGATTTTGCGCGATGATTTTGTTAATTATATGAAATTGGAAAAATAAATCAATTTCAATCGTGCAATCGTGAGAGCGTATAAATTTATGTAAAAAGTTTATTTATGTTTAGAAGAAAGAAATTAGGTTCTTGCTACGAACCATTTTATGAGTATTAAAGAAGAACTAAAATTCTATTTATAAAATTTGAAGGAGTAAAAAAGAATAAACAGTAACTAATAATAAATTATTGAATTAAAATGTACTATTCTATGAAAGTAAAAATAAAATTATTTTTTTGTTGAACATTTGGCTTTATCATCTCTTGCCGGAAAGCGCTTACAGTTAGGAGCAATGATATCTCCATGGAGTTTTAGTACGAAATTTTTAGGATCCTCAAAGCCATCCTTTTTCTCAAATGGTTTCGAATTACGTTTAGAACAAGGATCTTGTTTCATTTTTTTGGCTAATCCATCAAGTTCTTTATGTCTTGGCTTTTGATCACAGATAGCAGCTCGTTGACACTTATTCGGAGTGTTTTTTTCAGATAGCATTAAATTTATCGCAAGTTCAATAAGCTGTTTTTTTTTATCTTCTTTCTTATGATCACCTTAAAACCATTGATTATTGTTAATAAGCTTATTTAAGAAAAAAAATAAAGGACTTTCATCAAAAATAAATTTCTAATTACCTAAAAAATATGCAACATCGACTAATTTGTCTGCTTGATTTTGTGCGCAGCAAGGAGAAGCAGCAATCAACTTGCAATCAATAAACGCTCCCTCAATATCACCAAAGAATCCTTCTATGTCTCCATCACCGACCTTAAATTTTTTTTCCAACACTTTTAGATTCGGGTTTTTTTCTTCTTGACCGGGCCTTGCGTCAACCACAAAAAATAAAGCCAAGAAAATTATAAAGTTATAAAATTTCATTATTACTAGAAATTAAAAAAAAAATCTGAAATAAAGGATTCTTATTTTTTAAATAGAAAAAAATTAAAGAGATTATAATCCTTTATTTTTGATTTCTTTTTACCTGTACCATTACTTGTTACTTATATAGAGAATATTTTCAAAAATGAGAGTTACCGATTAAATAAGATGTTAATTTAGTTTCCAAAATGAAATTATTGATTAAATTAGATATTAATTATCTAATGTGACACTATAATATTATTAATTTCAAAGATTTCTGAGAACAATTTTATTCATGAACAAAGTTTTGATGTTTTATTATTAAAAAACGTACGTTAACCATATTCGATTCTTTTTGAATGATACAATTTTTGGTCAAACAGTTTTACTATATGAGATTAGAATGTTTATCAAACTAATAAAAGCTGATTGTTATGTAAATCTTAACTTACCATAGTAGTATAAATCCTTTAACAATAATATGTATACAATATTTAGAAATTTCTACTAATTAAAAATCTTGTGGATCAAAATTATTTTCCGAATAACTATCGGGGAATATGCTAAATTCTTTGATCATCAGCTGTTAATGAACGAAATATTCGTGTCTCGATCGGTCAATCCCGATTTCAGTAAGACCGAATACTGCAGTGTTTATTAATTAGTTGGTCCTTCTTTCGATCTAAAGTCAGTTTACGACGCTTTTTTAGAAATTTTTAGTACTTAGGATTATTATTATTATTATTATTACTAATAGTTTATATAGTAAGATCGGCTACAGTATATATAATTAGATTCGGGGCTTCGCGATTATTTCATTATTTCATTAGGAATTAGAACCCGATTTATCGGTTTTTTTATTAGTTAGGACTCTATCTACTGCAAAAAGATTCCTATTGATTGTCTATTTTTTCGATATTATTTGTGCGTTTTAAAATTACCAATCGTTTAACAGACTAAATTAATTTCTCAAGCTTATAATGTATAATATTTGCTATCGCTATATAAATTTTTTTAGATTGAATTCTCGCATATTAATATACTTTATAGTTATTGTATGGGTATGTACTGAATAGTCCAGTTACATATTCCGTGCCGAAGGCACGAGATTTAAATATGAACCCGTGTGTGTAACTGGGTTATTCAACATACCCATACAATAAAATAAGTTATTACACACAATGACTAAATTATAAACTGATCTCGGTTTTCTGAATTTTCTCTAATAAAAAAATGATGTACCTAGGGATTATTACATTTTTTAAATGCGAAATTTGCTTATCGGCCAGCACAACCTTTCATTCTATATTTGGTTTTACAAATGTTGGTATTGAAAATTCAAGATTTACAATATTACCGCTATGTAAACCTCATTGAATAAGTTTTTGCGAATGAATTAAAATAAATCTTATATATCTCTTGGTTACATTTTAACCTTTTAATCGTTAACTAAATCAGTACATGCTTTTTCGCAATAATTGTATTTTTGACGAGGTGTTATTTACACGTATCAGTTCGTCAACTTTTGTAAAATTTAAACGGGTTTCTTTAACGAGGGTCTTCCACCACGAACAAGAGACATTGTTTTGATGAATTTTTTTATTCTATTTTTTTTATAATATAATGTATTAAACCATTTTTAAGATCGTGTTCTAAAACATTTGGATATACCGATGTTCCAACACTATATCGCAGTGTTGTACGATGTTGTCATGACTTATATGACTTACATTAATATTAATTATATGGCATATCCTATATCATATGACATATGATTTATATGATTCTATCTGACATACTACTATATGACATTAGAATATCCAACACTGTTATATTATACTAAATAAAAGATTTAATGAAGTAGACTAAAAAAAAAAAAAGTTAATCATAAACATTCCAGAAATTACTAATATAAGCTAATATTAGCTAATCTTAAAGAAAAAAAAAAACTATTTTTAAACAGAGAATCGACAAATTGAATAAATAACATTCTTATTAAAACTAAGATATATCGAATCGATTCAACCAATAATTTTGTAGATGTCTGAAATTTTTCATTGCATCATTTTAATGCAATACAGCTAACCAAAATATTAAGTTTTAAGTGGAGTACAAAATTTAGCTCCACAGTTGATCTTCAAAACTCTATGACTCTATACGACAGTTCATTTAGCATATCAGCTGATCTGCACGGTCTAATAAATAATTCCGGTCAAAATTTGATTAGTTCTGGAGTAAATTAATCAAATGATTGACAATTTTAACCGAAATTATAACTCATTGAGTTCTTATATATGTTAGATCGTGCAGATCAGCTGAAAAATATATACCTGCAACTAATAAAACGCCGACCCTAACCCTATATGATGTCAGCTAAATGAGCTTTCAGTAAAATGATTGTCAGTGAAGTGAGCAGTACCGGATCATTTTTGCGATTATCGTTGTATTATTTTATTTGATGTTTTTTTTCGAGTTTTTTTCAGATCAGGTCATTTCTAATTTGTATGAGCTGATTTTGAGCTTACTGTATGAATTTAATTCAAAGCAGATTGGAATATAAGATGAGCATATATGAACATGGGTCGTATAATTTTCGACATCATACATGCACATATGTATATACTGTAAATTTATAGTCTATTCAGTGAAATAAACATCTTTATAACAAGCTTTATAGCTTAAATTTAGATTGATATAATAAAACGAATTGAAAAATTTCTTAATACGATTGGTGCATTCGAATTTAAATTTTCTTCTGAATTACATCAACTTTATTTATATCGAATTAGATTTAGGAAAAAGTTTATCCAAGAGCTAACACTTACCGTACTAAACTGATATCAGATATAAAATTTAAACATTAATTGACTACATTGATATGCATATATATGTTTGTACTCCGAGTTGGAACCTGTCTCGATTCAGAATTAGGGCAGTCCCGGATGAGAATTTTGTAATTTTGGCCCGAATTATACTAATCTAAATTAAAAAAAAAATTTATTATAGACCTTAAAGTCTTAATTCTGTCAAAATAATCCACGTGAAGATAGGTAACCAACAAATGCATGTATATACATACAACTACTATATACTGTATTTCTTTGCATTCCGTTACTGGTATTTGCAAGTGTTAATAAAATATACATGGAGTTATGAAGAAACTTGATAAACTATATTTGATAAGGTAACTGTGCGACGATGTCTCGTAAGTTATGAACAACGATAAAGGATCTGTCAGTTTAAGCAATTTGATTTGTTAATCTTAGATGTTGTGATCTATTCATCAGTTGATCTTTTGAAACTCCTAAAAAAAAAAAAACCCCTAAACTTAAATTATCCGGAATTCAGTGTTGAACTACTGAAAAATCTAATAATCGCCAATTAATTTAAATGATAAACTTGAAAGCCTGCAGTCTCATTTTCTTCAAATGATTTCTATAACTTCAGGCCCATACATTTTTATTTAAATCTTTATACGTATCTTATTAAGAAAGTTAATCTTTTACACTTTTTATTAGTTTTATTTTAATCCAATTAAGGCCGTTCAAAGTTGATTATTTGGTTAACGTCAATATTTTTTCGGTTCAGGCAGGCATATAGGGAAAGGGAAGAATTTAAACAAATATATATATTAACAAGAATGCTTGATTAAATTTCATTGGCCAACCTTAATCACATATTAATAATGTTTATTCTGTGTTGTGATTTGCTCGTTTATTTCCAGAGGCAGTTAACCGAGAAGTCGTTACTATTTGCAATTTAATTTTATTATATTCACATTAAGTATTTACATAAGCTATTCAACTTTATGAATATTTACTCTTCATAACTTCAGAACTGTAAATAGTAAGATTCATTATTAAGCATTTTAAAATAAGTCATTAAATGTTATGCTAAAATTATTTTATTCGCGATAGTGTATAATCTGAGTATTCAAAATAAGCTATTCAATTTCATTAATTAATCGATGAGCATAAAATTATAATTAAATAAATCTGTTTCATTTAATAAAGTTACAGCAAACATACATATTGTAGCGAATATAGCAGAATAAAGTATGCCGTTAGGTATATAACCCAGGCATAACAATCCAAAGATAGATAAATTGAGACAGAGATTGATAAGAATCTCAGAATTTATAATTATGAATATATTACCAACAGATATACTTGATAGACTATTAAAAATAGCTAACCATCTCATAATTACCAAACGTTTTTCGTAGATATATAACTCCCAATTAAAACTTTTACTAAAAAATTCAACTGAAGAGATCAATCAATTTTGACCAGACAATTTGATAAATGAATCTGAATCCGATTGCATTATTTTTAAAGTAGAGTAGGAAAGGCAGAAGAACTTAAGGAACTACTACTATATGCTTTATGACTAAAATTGTGTAGTTTCAAAACCTAGCAAATTCTTAATATACCTCAAAAATCAGTTATGTATATAAAATTTAAGCTAACAAAAACCTCGGTTAGTCATAATATAAATGGTTAATAAACAAATAGAATAAATAAAAAAATAAATAAATTTTAAAATAGCGTTCCTATCCATTATCGGTTTATCCATTTATCCATCGGATATCCAGATTTGGATATCCGTTTATATCCATTTATATACTATTTATATCCGAATACGTATTTACCAAATCCCTACCGGCGATCGGATGATCAAATACGGACGGATTTAAAATTTTGTATAAGAAATTACACACAAAAAAAAAATAAGCTTTCTTTGAACAATTACGTTGTAAAACGAGAGTTGATTGGTCAATCGTTCCGCAGCAATCGGGTTCGAATAACCGACCCACAGAATCCAGGTACGAAAGAGGCGTGTTATATTTGGCGAATTGTAAAATGAACATGTAGTTTATAATATATGTGACTTGGGTACTCTACGATATTTGGCTGGAGCTGAGGGAAACGAAGTGGCCATACTCTACGATTTTTTAGAAATGTCCGATTCCCGGTTCAGCTGGACCTGATTTAGGTTCTAAATCCAAAAATTGAACC